CAAAACTGCTGTGTTCATTGATTTACCACGAAGCAGTTCATGTAAGAACCACTCAAGTAAAGAAGTAGATATTGCTAATACATGAAAAACTCCCTTACATCTTTATATTCACTATTCTATATCTCCCCAACCAAAAAAGCCACTTTTTAGTCATCACTTTCTTGTTTTTCTTTTTTAAAATATAATTTAGTTTTACCTGTTCTTTTAAATGTGTATAAGGTATCATTGAGTGCATGTGTGTATGTTTTTTAATGTTTGACTTCTAGACATTATGCTTGTGCGATTTAACCATGTTGTTGCATGCAGTTCTAGCTCATTTATTGTTATTACTATATAACAAGAGTTCCCAAGCCTGAGTCCATGGAATTAGTCCATGGTTTGTTACAAACTAGCCACACAAGAGGAATGAATGGCAGTGGAGTAAGTGAACCTTCATCTGTATTTACTTCATCTGCTTCCCATCCCTCCCATTACCACCTGACTCTGTCTCTTGTCAGATCAACTGCAGCAATTAGTTTCTCATAGGAGCATGAACCCTATTGTGAACTGCACATGTAAGGGACCTAGATTGTGCACCTCTTGTAAGAATCTAATACCTGATGATCTGAAGTGGATCTGAGGTGGTAATACTAGCACTGGGGAGCAACTGCAAATAATGTATTATGGTGAATTTTATAGTTATTTCATTAAGTGTTACAATGTAATATAAGTAAAACTAAAGGGACCTGCAGTTGGTGTAATGGCTATGTCGCTGGACTCCTATTTAGTCGACCGCAGTTTGAGTCCTGGATGCAGTGGCTTAAACTCATGCTGGGCGCATGTGCTTGTGTGCCCAAGATCCCAAGAGGAGAATAGAGGAGAAGGGATTGCAGCATGGCCATCCCCCCGGCGGTGATTTCTCATTTTTTGTCTGTCTCTCTGGCGAGCGCGCACGCCCTACAGCAAAAACCTCTCAAAAAACCCCAAAAAAGTAAAAATCAAGTGCACAATAAATGCGGTGTGCTTGAATCATCCCTGAACCAGCCCCCGCCCCTCAGTCTGTGGAAAAATCATCTTACAAAAAACTAGTCCCTGGTGCCAGAAAGGTTGTGGACTGCTGCTGTATATTGGGTTGCCTGGAAAATCATGATGCATTTTTACATAGAAAAATATAGAAAAATACATCATGACTTTCCCAATAACCTAGTAATATTCCACTGAATGAATATGTCATTATTTTTTCATTTCACAATTGCTAGACTTTAAAATTATGGACACTTTGGGGCACTTAGAAATACCACCAAATAATTTGTACTGTCTGTTAATGTAATTGTATACACATTTTTATTGGGTGTATAGTCAAGATTGGATTACTGGGTAGTGTGAAATACATATCTTCAACCCTAGTAGATAACGCCAAGATATTTTTCATAATGATTATATCAGTTTACCTTTCATCATCAATATATGAGAATTCCCATTGCTTTTCACCAAAACCTAACATTGTCCATGTTAAAATTTAAGCCATAGTCTATGGTGGAAAGCAATAGTTCATTGTGGTTTTTATTTACATTTTTCCTATTAATAAGGGTTGAACACCCTTTCATGTGTATATTTGGCCACTCAAGTATCTTCTTAAAGTCTCACTCAAGACTCTTGCTCATTTCTCAATTGGGTTTTATCTTGATCTGTAGAATTTCTTTTTTTCTTTTTTCTTTTTTTTTTTTTTTTGCTATAGGATTCATGTGTTGCCGGAGAGAGAAGGAAATCCCTACTCTGGGGTGATGTCCATGCCGCAATCCCTTTTTCTCTCAGGATTTTGGGCACACACACACACATGCCCAATGTATCTTTCAAACTACCAGGTCCAGGATTTGAACTACACAGTCAGCCATGTGGGATCCAGTTGCCCTAACCACCACATCACTAGCTGGCCCTAGAGTTTCTTTTTTATAGTTTAGATATAAGCCCTTTTTCCATTGTATGTGTTGCAAATATCTTTTCTCACTGTAGTTTGCTTTTTGCACTGAGGAATGTAGAGCAGATTCTAATGTGCTTCCTGTAAGCCCTTGGCACCTTGGCGTTTACTTTGGAGCAAGGGCAGTTTCTTGCTGGAAGCATCTTAAACTCTTATCTGAGTATTTCTTGGCCACAGGAGACACCAATAGGTATCAGAGCTGATGACCCTGGCAACAACTTTTAACCAGTACTGAATAGGAATTGTTGAATAAATAACCCATTTTTCTCCCCCTCTGGAGATAGCTGATGAAACGTTGAACCATCTCTCAGAGTTCTCCAGTAGGATTGAGCTATAGTATTCTACAATGGTAACCTGATTGTGAATGTGTCCTATATTGGTGTCTTTCTTTCCCTGTTTTACTTACCCACTCTCTTGTCTGTTCTTACTAGTATACTTTTCAAATAAATTACTTGCCCTTTAAATTATAGTTTCTTCAAGTTGGCTTTTGGGGAACATATCCTGGGTCAGTAGTAATCATTTAAAATAATTATTTTGGAGAAATATTTGCTATGGGACACATGTGCTCACTGGAGAGACAGAGAGAGATAGAGAGACAGAAAGTGAGAAATCACCCCAGGGGTATGGCTACACCAGAGTCCCTTCTCCTCCAGTCTCCTATCTGGATTTTGGGCATGCATGCACATGTGCCCAGCATGAGTTTCAAGCCACCAGGTCTGGGATTCAGACCGTAGTCGGCTATGTGGGAGTCCACCGCCTTAATCACTATGCCACTTACTGGCCTCCAGTAGTAATCTTTTGATGAATAGAAATTCTTAATTTAAATGAATGTACTATATCAGGTTTTTTTTTTTTCCTTTATAGTTAGTGTATGCCATGGCCTGCATAAGAAATCTTTACTCAACCTAATGTTTTGGTTTATGCTCCCAGAATTTTAATTCATTGAGGTGACTAAATGATGTCACAGAAATGCTAATGCCATTGAAGGAAATTTTTATTACTGACAGTTACCAAGAGAAGAGGGCATGCCAGGCAGGCCACACAAGGAAATAACCACATTTGGTCAGGAGGCAGGAGTGAAGGGACAGCATGGAGAAAAACCTTTATTACTGCAGTGCAAAAATATTGTCAGATTGGGATGTCCTCATTGGGCAGTAAACAAAACACAGATGTTAGGGTTTGTGATAGGAAGGTTTGTGATATGGTTTTCACTTGCCCACAAAAGCTGGACTTCAGGGGAGATGAAAGCAACTTTATTAATTTGGCTGTGTGATTAATGGATACCAAATTATCAATCACAAAATTTATAAAAGTTAGAACATTCAAGGCCATGAAGATGTTCTTCTTTGTGTAATATAGATGTTTTATTCTTTTATCTTTTAGAACTACAATCTACTTGAAATTAATTTTCATGTGTGAGGTGAGGAAAGGGCCACATTTCTTTTTTCCTACATAGATTCACAATTGTACTGGTATCATCTATTAAAAAGATTGTTGTTGGGGCCAGCAGGTGGCATGGTGGCAACTCACTGGATTCCCACATGGCTGATCACAATTCAAGTCCCAGACCTCGCAGCTTGCTTTCTCACTTTCTCTTTCTCTGTCTCCCTCTGGTGAATGCACATGCCCTGTAACAAATAAAATAACAATAATAACAATAGTAATAATAATGATAATGATAAATAAAAATAAATAACATAATTCTAAAGAGACCAGACTGTCCTTTCTCACTTTTCAAGTCATTCTTTGTCATAAATCAAATGTCTCTATATGCTCAGGTTGATTTTTAGACTTTCAATTGTGTTCCATTGTTCTCTTTGTCCTCACACTGATACCACAGTTTTTATTTTTTTTAAATATAATTATTTTATTTAACTTTATTTATTTATTTATTTATTTATTTATTTATTTATTTAAATTTGGTCACAAGAGAGACAGGGTGAGAGAGACAGACAGAGGGCAGGTGAGAAAGTAAGCTGCCAGGTCCGGGACTCAAACCACAGTTGGCCATGTGGCAGTCCATTGTCCTTAACCACCACACCACATGCCGGCCCCCACAGTTTTTTAATTACACCACAAATTGATACTTAGTGGAATTAGTCCTTGTACCTTGTTGTTCTTCAAGGCTATGTTGGCTATATTTGGATTTTTTCCCTTTGGTGAGTGGTGGTAGTTTATTTATTTGGTTCTTATTCGTTCTTCTGGTTAGTTTTAGAGAGCCATTGTAAGAGGGTATGAGATAATCCTCTTTGGGGCTAATGACATTCATTATGATATTTCATCTAAATTGATCCATATAGTCACATAACAGTCCAGATTTTATGTAGTAGGGATAAAAATCAAGGACCCTCAAAAAAGAAATGGTCTAATATTAAGTATATGATATCATAATTATAAATCCTAAAACTGCACTTGTTTTGCCAATATTGGTAAATTAGTCCATTTACAAGAACTTGCTCCTTTCCTCAAGTTTGTTAGCACTGCTCTGCTTTAGAGAGTGCTATTTAATCCATGTAAAGTTTATTAATAAAATTGAGAATGTTAATGTTGATTTATTTTGAAAAACTATAATTAACTTGGTACACTGGAATGAAGAAAATTGTTTTACATTCTCAAACAGGAAACGAGGGAAATTCATGGTGTTCTGTAACTATTTGAGAGGTTCAGATCTAGTCTTTCAAAATACCATCTATCCACAATTGTCCACAGTGCCTTTTTTAGTTAATCTGGGTCTTTTGTTGCTTCTCAAGGATAAACTGTATTTCCTTTTGCTATTATAGTCTAAATTGGGCCCTAGGGGCTGAAATAAAATGAAAGTTGGATACAAATGAGGCAAACTCTTCTCATTGTCAGACTTTCAAGAGATTAGTGTGCTAGGTTTATAATGGTGGATTAGTATTTCTAATCATTATCATGGTTGGTATCCTAGCTAGGCTGATATATAAAAATATATGGAATGTGAAAAGAGTAGAGTGTTTAAGAGAAATACCCATCCATTTATCAAATATTTATGGCATGCACATATGTATTTTTATCTTAACAGGTAAATGCTGCTGAATCAAAGATAACAAATTTAATATACTTAAAACATACCTTGGAACTAGTAGATCCTTTAAAGGTAAATGATATGTGTGTTCATATGAGAAAGCACTTGCCCCCACCCTGGGGTTGGATGACCATGCTGCAATCTCTTCTCCTTCATTCTTCTCTTGGGATTTTGGACACACATGCATATGTGCCTGGCGTGAGTTTTAAACCTCCAGGGTGGCATTTGGCCACAGTTGACTCTTACTGTACCATGTGAGAATTAGTTGTACCACCTAAATATTAAAGTATTTATTTCTCCCTGGAGCCTGTGCTGTTTCCACCCAGAGCAAAGAGGCAGCGGGTGAGGGAAGCTGAGACAGGAAACAGCTCCAGGCTTCTTTATGCCTCCTAACCTTCCCAGAAATATCATAAAACTTCATAGTTTTCTGAACCACATGGTGCAATGTATGTGTAAGTCCTTTTTCTTTTTTCCTCTCCAATCTGAAAATCTCCTGGCTAGTCCCAGGTACGCCTGATCTCAAGAGACTGGGAAAGGAAACAACACCTAAATGTGGCTATATACACACTCCCTGATTGAAAGACAAGGCTCTCTACCAAGAACACATCTGAGAAATAGAGTTCTTCCCCTCTCCCCAACACTACACAATCAACAACAGGAAAACAGGAAGTAGTGTATAATCCATTAGATGACTGGAAACCAGCACAGAGGCACAAAAAGTATGAGTAAACAAAGAAATACCTCTTTCTCAATGGAACAGAGCAACTCTCCTACAACCATAGATAGCACAGAGGAATTTGCAGGAATGTCAGAAATATAGTTCAGAATATTCATGGTGACAGAGAAGAGCAAGTCTTTCCAGGTTTTGAAGGAGGAGATAGACACAGTAAAAAAATCAATCAGAACTCCTAGAGATGAAGAGAATAATACAGGATATCAAGATGTCCCTCAAAAGTATTAACAGTAGACTGGACCACACAGAAGACAGAATCTCTGAGCTGGAAGACAAAACCACTAAAAATAATGAAAAAATAATAAAAAAGAGGACAACATATGAGAAATAGATACTAGATACTATGAAACACCCAAATATTTGAACAATAGATATTCCAGAAAGTGAAGAATTGGACAAGGGCATAGAAGGCCTATTCCATGAAATATTTGCAGAAAACTTTCCAAACCTAGAGAAGCAATCAAACATCAATACCCAAGAATTAAAAAGGTCCCCAAATAGAATCAACCCAAGAAAATCCTCTCCGTGGCACATCATAACCAAAAGACCAAAATCACGTATAAGGAAAAGATACTAAAAATGGCAAGAGAGAAGCATCAAGTTACTTACAAAGGTTATCCCACCAGGCTAACATTGGGCCTCTCAGTGGAAGCAATGCAAACAAGGAAAGAATGGGACAATATATTCAAAGTGTTAAAAGAAGAACAATTTCAGGACCAGCAGATGGTATAATGGCTACATTGCAGGACTCCCATGTAGTTGACTGCAGTTCGAGTCCCAGATCCAGTGGATTAAAATTCATACTAGGCGTGTATGTGTGCCTGCCCACAATTCCGAGAGGAGGATGGAAGAGAAGGGATGGCAGTGTGGCCATTCCCTTGGGGGATGATTTCTCACTGTCTGTCTCTCTCTGGTGAGCATACACACCGTATAGCAAAAATCTCTCTCTAAAAAAAAGGGAAGAATAATTCCAACTAAGAGTACTATACTTGGCAAGATTATCCTTCAAATGGGAAGAAAAGATAAAAATATTGTCAGATAAACAAAACCTGAAAGAATTTACCAACATCAGATCAGCTCTTCAAGAAGTTCTGAAGGGAGTGCTCTACCAGGAAAACTAAAGAGAGACAGAAAGAAACAAGAGAACAAAAAACAACCAATAAAATGGCTAACAAAATGGGTAGGGTAAAGTCTGGGAATATCACTAATAATGTTGAATGTTAATGGAGTAAGTTCTCTAATCAAGAGATACAGACTAGCTGAATGCATTGAAAACCAGAAATGGTCTATCTGTTGCCTACAGGAAATGCACCTCATGAATAAACATATAGACTAAAAGTGAAGGGCTGGAAAAAGGTATCCCATGCAAATGAAAACTAACAGAGCTGGAGTTGTGATATTGATTTTAGATAAAACGGGCTTTGAGACAAAAACTGTAAGAAGAAACAAGGGCATTATATAGTAGCAAAAGGAGTAGTAATTCATCAATAAGATACCATGCTTATAAATATCTATATCCCAATACAGGAGCACACAAATCCATGAAGTAAGGACTGCTAGATCTAAAAGGAGAGACAGCTTACAATACACTATTCATTGCCCTACTAACTCCTTTGTACAAATCATCTAGACAAAAAATAAGCAAAAAGATATAGGAAATAAATGATACCACAAATCAAATGGACTTGACAGACATCTATAGAACCTCCCACCAAAAACCATGAAATACATATTTTTCTCACCCTTGCTTGGAACCTTTTCTATATTGACTGCACAAAACAAACCTTCATAGATTCAAAGGCATAAAAACTATATACAGCATCTTCTCTGACCATGATGGAATTAAACTTGATATTAATTTCAGAAAAAGCTTTTGAGAAAACACTAACATATGGAAACTAAAGAACCTACTCCTGAATTACTTCACATCTACTGAAGAAATTAAGACTGAAATCAAAATATTCATGGAAACTAATGATAATGAGTACATGAGTTTCCATAATTTATAGGACACAGCAAAAGCAGTCATAAGAGAGAAGTTCATAGCGATTAGTGTACATAAGCTAAAGAATGAAAGATGGCAAATGGACAACCTAACATCATGCCTCAGAGAATTGGAAGAACAACAACAAAAAAAAATCCAAAAAATGTCAGAAGAAATGAAATAATAAGGATTCAAACAAATAAATGAAATAGAAAATAAACAAATGATATAGAAAATAAATGAAACCGAAAGCTGGTTCTTTAAAAAGATAAACAGAACTGACTCACCATTATCTAGACTAATTAAGAAGAAGAGAGAAAGGAACCAGATAAATCAAATTTGCAATGAAACAGGAAATATTACAACAGACATAATAGAAATACAAAGCAACATTAGAGAAACTATGAATGACTATTTGACAACACACATGAAAACCTGGATGAGATGGACAAATTCCTGGGCACACATAATCTACCAAGATTGGGTCAGGAAGATATATAAAGCCTGAATAAACTCATAACAAGCAATGAGACTGATCAGTAATAAATAACTATCCAACAAAGAAAAGCCCAGGTTCTGATGGCTTAATTTCTGAATTCTACAACTCTCCTAAAGAAGAGTTAACACCCATTCTACTCAAATTATTTCTAAATATCCAAAAGGAAGGAACTTTCTCAAATTCATTTTATGAAGCATCCATCACCCTCATCCCTAAAACATATAAGGACATGACAAAAAAGGAAAACTACAGACCAATATCTCTCATAAATATACATGAGAAATTCTCAACAAGATGCTAACAAATCATATTCAATAATACATAAAAAAATCATGACCAGGTAGGCTTAGATCTGCACAAAGGGAGATATTCCTCTTCATAAATATGAATTCAAATCTCTCTCTGTGGATACCACATTGCAAGACACAGTAGAGGAAAGAAATTGGCACAGAAGTATTTCATACTGAAGGGAGGCACACAAGCTTATGACCAGAAACCACCACAGAGGCACAAGAAATGTGAGAAGCCAAGAAAATTTCCCTCAAGAGAAAAGAACAACGCCTAACCATCCACAATGGGTCAATGGAACTTGTGGATATGTCAGACAAAGATTTCACAATATTCATAGTTACTAAACTAACAGAGATGCAAGAGAAGAGAGACAACAAGCTCCAGAAGAGGCAAGAGAAAAGGGACAGTGAGTTCCAGGTGGTGAGGAAGTCCTTCCACAATCTGAAAGAAGAAATACACACCATAAAAAATAATCAAATGGAACTGTTAGAGACGAAGGCTGTAACATAGGAAATAAAAATTTCCCTTAAAAGTATTAAAAGCAGATCAGATCATCTCAAAAGGTCAAATTTCAGATGTAGAAGATAAAAACCTCTGACCTTGAAAAAAAATCACCAAAAAGACTGAGAAAATAACCCCATAAATGAGAATAATACATGAGAAATACTAGATACCATTAAATGCCCAAACATCTGGATAATCAGTAGCCCAGAAGGTGAAGAAACCAATAACGGTATTGATAATCTATCCCATGAAATCATGGAAGAAAACTTTCCAAACCTAGAGAAGCATTCAAAGATCCAGTCCCAAGAAATACAAAGGACCCCAAATAGAATCAACCCAAGAATATCTTCTCCAAGGTACATCACAACCAGGTCAACCCAAACCACAAAGACAAAGACAAGATACGAAATTGGCAAGAGAGAAGCATCAAGTTATGTACAGAGGATATCCCATCAGGCTAACACAGGACCTCTCATTGGAAACGATGCAAGCAAAGAAAAAAATGCAAAAATATATTCAAAGTGTTAAGTGAAAAACAGTTTCAACCAAGAATACTATATCCAGCAAAATTATCTTTCAAATGTGAAGAAAAGATTAAAAAATGTTCTTTGATAAACAAAATCTAAAAGAATTTACTAACACCAGACCAGTTCTTCAAGAAGTTCTGAAGGAATTGCTATACCAGGAAAACTAAAGACAGACACACAGAAATGAGAGAACAAAAAACAACCAAGACAATGGTCAATGGCAGGAACGAGTCTGGAAAGATAATGACGTTGAATGTTAACTTCCAGATTTAAATGGATAGATCAGACCACAGTAACTGTAAATTCAACAGAAGAGAGGTTCATTACATGAAACTGTACAGGAGAAATAGAATTTTATGACTTTTGACTAAAACATTACTGATTTTCTCCTTTGCTTTGTTTTCTGTATTTAAGGATTTTTGTCTTCTTTTGAGCTGTTGATATGTTCAGCAATTTGATAATTTTTTTTTTTAATCGAAACATAAACTCTTCCCACTTCCTGACTCCTCTGGAATTGGAAAATATTTGTGGATATTCTTACTTTTGTGGCATAAAAGTTATTTGCATAAGCTCAATAATACCTGTTTCTGTGCACCAGAATTTTGAAATACTGGTTATTGTCAGGGCTTCAACTGGAATGTCATTTCTGAAGATATGACCAAAAATCTAACAAACCAAGGTAGATCTCAAGAAAGCCAACATAAGCTCTTGGAAAGATTGCCTGGTACCATAAACAGTTCTGCTTGGCAGATAAGTAAAGAATGTCACTTCCTGACAGGCCCAAAGAAATACAGGTACTTAAAGGCATAGGCAGATGATGAATTCCTATTTTGTCTCGGTAGCCTTGGGAGGCTTTTTAAAGAGTCTAATCTGAAGTTCCTTATAAAAGTTTCCAGCAAAGTCCACTAAATCAATTAGTATTCTTATAAGGCTTTGCGCAAATAACAGACCAAGTTGAGACTATAATTTATTTTTTGTAAATATGTTAGTTTATGCCTCTTTGGTAAAAGGGGGAATGGGGAGAGAAAAAAATGTTTCAGAAGAAAATTACAGTGCATTTATTACTAGATTTTACCTTTGTCCATATCTGGTTTTTGTTTAGGTTTTAGTGTCTGCCTGCTGTTCAAACAGAATCTTAATCTTTTTTCTGTTTTTAAGTATTAGGCAAATTTTTCTTAACATTGTTGAATTTTTATTTATTAAAGCTAAAACTGCTTTACTTGATATAAAAAATACATTATACACACACACACAGAAACACACAAACTTATTTAATGACTGTAGTAAGCTATATAGTCTGAGCTAGGTACTACTGTATAATATATTCATCCTATTCAGAGTTTTTTACCTAAAGTCAGACATGTGTTCATAGACAAGTTTATATGCGCTGCACTTGTTATTGAAAGTATTTAGATTAGTTAAAGTCCTTTGTGGAATACTACTGAGCCATAAAAAAACAAGACCCTGGCTTTTGACAAAAACTGGATGAATATGGAAGATTTACTGCTGAGTGAAGCAAGCCAGGCTATGAAGGAGAGACATTGTATGTCTCTACCTAATATATACCGAGTGTCTGCATTCCATGGCCAAAGCTGAATGACTAAAGGATATAGAAACATAATAAATGGTTGTGAATACCAGATACAGTGTGGGAAGAGGGTGGGTGAAGTAGTAGAGGAAGGACATTAAGGAGAAAAATAGAGAGGCAAGTCATTTATGGGACAAAGAAATGGGTTATTATCTATTCAAGATAACTATTGTATTGTTAATTGGACTGGTGATAAATGTACACATGTTGGAATATTCACTTTGCAAACTAAGTAACATGTGAATGAATGTATAAAAGAAATTGAAATAAAAAAAAGGAAAAAAATTTTGTGAATCAATAAAGTATGAAAAAAACTACAAGTGGGTATTAGTCAGGGATATTATCAATAGTTGACTAATATTAACTAATCTTGACCAATATTGACTTGTTAATCAATAGTGTTGATCAATATTAGGTATATTCATACAATCAAATTTATGTAGCCATTAAGATATATGTAAGATCTCTCTATATAAAAATGTTGATGATAATGTATATAAAATATCTTTAACAAAAAAATAAGTAAAATTTTAAAAAGAAAGAAAATAGTCAGAAACACTGAAAAAAATGTTCAACCTCACTATTTTTTTTTATAGATATATTTTTGCTATAGGATATGTGTACTCACCAGAGAGACAGAGACAGAGAGACAGAAAGTGAGAAATTATCCCCTGGGGGGATGACCATGCCACAGTCCCTTTTCCGCAATTCTTCTCTTGGATCTTGGGCACACACACATGCACATGTTGCCCAGCATGAGGTTTTTTTTTTTTTTCCTTAAAAACTTTATTTACTATTATCATTAATAGTATTATCATTTGATCAGAGAGAGACAGAAAGAGAGAGAGGGAAAGTGATAAAGCAAGCCACCAAGTCCAGGAGTCAAACTATAGTCAGCCATGTGGGAATCCAATGCCTTTAACCACCATGCCCTCTGCTGGCATCCTGGCATGAGTTTTAAGTCTCTGCATGTAGGACTCAAACCACGATGGACTATGTGGGAATCCAGCGACATAACCATTTTATCACTGGCTGGTCCTGCAGCCTCATTATTAATTAAAAAAAAAAAAGAGAGAGAGACAAAACCGTAATTTTTATTTATCAGAGAAATAGGTTTTTGTTTTTCTTAATGGCTACAACTCACTGCTAAAGAAAACAATGAGAAAATTTCTTAAACAGCTGATAGGAATACAAATTGTACATACTTTACAGGACATATCTGCAACATATAGCTTTTAATCTTATAATACTGCTTCTAGAAACCAGTCCAAAAGGACTATTTAGAAATACTAAGATTTATGCCCTGGGGTCAGCAGGTGGCATAATGTTTGGGGCACTAGACTCCCACATGGCAACTGCAGTTCGAGTCCTAAACCCAGCAGCTTGAAACTCACACCAGGTGTGTGTATGTGTGTGTGTGTGTGTTTGTGTGTGTGCCCAAAATCTTGGGAGGAGAATGGAGATGAAGGGATTGTGGCATGGCCATTTCCCCTTGGGGGATGATCTTTTATTTTCTATCTCTCTGTCTCTTTCTGTGTCTCCAGCAAGTGCATGCATTCTATAGCAAAAATATCTTTCTAAAAAGGTTTATATCCAACAATGGCCATTGCAAAGTTATTTATATTAGTGGGAATTGTAAGTAGAATATAACTCTTAAAGTTAGGGGGAGAGACTGTTCACCTTATATGGGGTAAAATATTAAGAATTGTTCAAATGTTTTGAAAACTTTGTATGACCAGCACTGTGGTCTGGTGGTTAAGGTAGCCAGATCTCACATGGTTCACCACAGTCTGAAACCTGACTGGGGAGGCTTGAAAACCAAACTAGGTATTTGTGCATGCATGTCCCAAATTCTAAGAGGATAGAGGAATGGAGGCGAAAAGATTGTGCATGACCATGCCCTACTGGGGGACTCTTTCTTGCCTACTCTTTCTCTCTGTCTCTTTTCTCTCTCTCTGTTTAGTACATATGTCCTTTGCAAAATGAAAAATATATATATATTATTGCACCAGCTTCATGGCTTGGTGATTAAAGCAATGGATCCCACATGGCCAACCCTGTGATTTGATTCCTGAACCTGGAAGCTTGGGAAACAGACCTAGCATGTGTGCATGCATGCCCTAGATCTTGACAGGATGGAGAAATGGAAGAGAAGAGATTGCTGTGTGACCATTTTCCCACTATCTTGTCTCTTTGTCTCTTTTCTGGAGAGCCCATCTACCCTCTGGCAAAATTATTTTAGGAAAGTTTCTAATACTCATGATGTATAATATACTATTAAGTGTGGATGGAGGGGAGGTAGCATACAATGATATGAAGTATTCCATTTCACATATTGGAACATATACCAGACCATTTAGAGTAATATATCTGAAAGGGTAGTAGAATGATTTAGTCTTTTTTGCTTCCATGAATTTTGCAGTTTTTATCACTATAGTCATACTATTTTTCTGTCAGGTTAACTATGTTTTTTCCTCCTCTTTTTTGTTTATTTAAATTAGTGGGCATAGTCTTCAGTAAGCAAGATAAAATTTATACTTATGCCATATTAGAATCAAAAAATTGCTCTATTTATAAATATGCTAAATACTTTTTTTGGAGAGATTTTTGGATATAGGGCATGTGTGTTTGCCAGAGAGACAGAATCAGACAGAGACAGAAAGCGAGAAATCACCTCATTGTGTGTGGGGGGTGATGGCACATTGCAATCCCTTCTCCTTTCTCCTCCTAGGATTTAGGGCGTGCACACACATATGCCTTGGGTGAGTTTTAAGCCAATGGGTCCGGGACTTGAAACGCAGTCGACCATGTGGGAGTCCAGCCGCATAACCACTATGCTATCTACTGGCCCCTATTAAACACATTTTAAGTTTAGTTTTCATCTAACTCAAATTTTGGATTTATGTATTCTCTATGTACAATAGTATTAATACCTGTATAAATGTCTGTCTCTATAAGGAGCTGGATGTTAACAATTAGTTGGGAGACAAGAAAAATCATAACAGGGAAAAGTGAATGGCAATTATTAGCCATGTGTTCTTTATTTTTTTTTCTTATTTTTGGAGAAGTTTTTGCTATAGGGTGTGTGCACTTGCCAGAAAGACAGATAGAGACAGAGAGACAGAAAGCGAGGAATCACCCCCTAGGGGACATGGCCACGCTGCAATCCCTTCTCCTCCATTCTCCTCTTGGGATCTTGGGCACACACGCACATGCGCCTGGTGCGAGTTTAAGCCACCAGGTCCGGGACTCGAACTGTGGTCGGCTATGTAGGAGTCCAGCAACATAGTCATTACGCTAACTACTTGTCCCAGCCATGTGTTCTTTATCCAGAAAATAGGAAGGGTATCATCTATACTTTCCTTTAATACTAAAGTATTATATAATGAGAAAATGAAGTCAGAAAGCTCTTGGTAAACTGTCAAGTATTAAATGTAAAATGCTGTTTGAATGTCATAATTTATTGTTTTTACCTATCTTTATTCTTTAATAGATTGCTCTGAAAAACTGTAACACACCATTATTAAGAGCTTACTATGGTTCCTTGGAAGACAAGAGGTATTTGTCATTCAACTGTTAATAAAATATCAGATTATTCCTTTCTTCTGTAACTTATTTTGAAGACTAATTCTGTTCTATAGATCAATTACTTGAGTTTTGGTTAAGAGAGTCTTTAAACTACTTATCTGAATTCTAATGATATATTTTACCTTTTAAGTAAATAAATAGGATATCAACACTTTGTGTAAATGGACAATGAGAGTAGCCTGAAAAGTTGAAATCTATGAAATTCTTTATTTTTTTAAAAAATATTCTACGGAACGCATTGCAAATGTAAAAATATGTTTCTCTCTTTTATAAAGGGCCTAATGTAACCAATAAATGGCAGACATGGCAGATATGAATATCAAATAAGATCTAAATAGAGTTTAATTTTAATATTGTTAAACTATTACTAGTTGATTCTTGACTGAAAAGATTTGTAATACCTAATAATTGTTATTTTATTGATTTGTATTTATACATTATGTGAGGTTACAAATTGAAGTTAGTAATAAAATTGCCTTAATAACTAAAAACAGGACAGAAAAGTGGAAAAGATTAGGAAACTAGATGTTACCAGACTTCTGGTTTGCATAGCAACTATCTTTGATCACTGATAATTGTGAAGTTCCTACTATACTTAGTTTCCATTATTCTGACTGATCACCAAGGGCAAGGATCACATGTTATCTGTCATTGAATTCCTGCACCTATCACAATACTTGATACATGGTGTAAGTAAATGGTTATTGAATGAGTGATCATGAGGACAGAATTTATTTTAAAGAATTATTTAATTTTATTTATCATCATCATTATTATTTTTTAAATTTTTGATGAGTGACAGAGCAAGGAGGTGAGAAAGCAAGCTGCCTGGTCTGTTACTTGAACCATGGTTGGCCATGTGAGAGTCCATTGCAACCTGCTGGCCTCAAAGCCAGAATTTTTTGTAACATTTTTTTAGGGATATATTTTATACTCATAGGTACTGTCAGTTATTAAATTTTGAAGATCTTTTATCAGCAGGTGTAGAATTGTTTTTGGTGACTTTGTGCTGTTTTAAACTAGTCCTGATTGCAAAACAGTTTAAAATTGACATAGTCATAGCTATAACTTGTATAAAGTTAAATACATTCTCTATTTATTTCAAAATAACTTTCAACACAGATTTGCTGTAATTAACTTCGACTTGAATTATAAATTAAAGTAACTGTTAGACTTATTGTCTATAATATTCTTTTTCTTTTTTGTCTTAATGTTAGGTTTGGAATCATACTTGAAAAGATTAAAACAGTAATCAATGATGATGTGAGATACATGAAAGGATGCCTGAATATGAGGACACAGAAGTGCTATGCAGTGAGGTCTAACATAAATGAATTTCTTGATATAGCTAGAAGAACATATACAGAGATTGTGGATGACATAGCAGGTAATTTATTTGAGCATTTTTTTTCTGTATTTTTAGGAATGAAACAAAGTTTTTAGGACTTACTGTCCTTTTTGGCTGGTGATGACTAGTCATGCACATTTTAAAATTAATTTTTACCTTAAAGAGTAAGGTTAATACATATTGCTGTTTAAGGAAACTTAAATAAGATATCAAAGTGTTAATATGTGTCTTCTCTCCAAACTTACATATAGAGTTATCTTCATAAAACATTGTCTATAAGTGCTATGAAAAATTCAGGCTATCAATACTAAAAGATTTCAGTGGAGGAAGAGATATTTTTATGTAAAAGAGGTAGCATTTGAGCTAGTCCAGTGATTTTTTTTTTTTTTTTTTTGGAGAGGTTTTTGCTATAGGGTGCGTGTGCTTGCAAGAAAGACAGAGAGACAGAAAGCAAGAAATCACTCCCCAGGAGGGATGGCCATGCCGTAATCCCTTCTCCTCCATTCTCCTCTCAGGATCTTGGGCACACACGCACACGTGCCTAACGTGATTTTTAAGCCACCAGGTCTGGGACTCGAACTGTAGTCAACTACATGGGAGTCCAGCATCATAGCCATTATGCTAACTGCTGGTCCCTAGTCCAGTGATCTTTAAACAAATATTTATTGAGCTCCTAATGCATGTAGACACTTTTATATTCTGGGAAAAAAGCTCTATCTTATTTTTGGAGCTTATATTATGGTAGATGGTAGGGGAGGCAGATAATAAAAATAAATACACATATGTAAATACATGTATCAGTATTTATTTATATATACATCAATCATATATCCATATATGATGCATAATTTCAGATGGATATACAATGCATGAAAAAAGTACAGATTAGAGGGGTCAAAAAGGGACTAGGTGTGGAGGTATACAGGATGAAAAGGTTTTTAGTAGATGGAATATTCTATAGAGAAATTTTCCTCATTGGCAATGGTACAGGCCAAAGTACAAAGGCACACAAGACCTTGAAGGATGAAGTTAGAATGGAAAAGATTATTTCCTTACAGAACTAATAAGAGAAAGATTAGAAATGTAGACTGTGAGCTAAAATTTAGGCAATAGTTTGGATTTTTTTCCAAGAGAGAATGTGGACACACTGAAATGTTTTTGCTTTCTGGCATGGAATTGGTCAAGAAAATATATTAAATAAATTTGAATAGAGAAATGAAGGTAAGGAAGCCAGTTTAAGACTATTAGGGTGAAAGTAATGTATATGAGAAAAAAAATGTAAGGGTTGAAGAAAGAATTGATAGGAGTTAATATAATTAAGGAGATACGGCCATGTTAGTAAAGGAAAAGATGTCTTAGTGCTGAGATTTCTAGTCAAAGAATGGTGGTACCATTGAGAAAAGCAGGAAAACGGGAGGAGGAACCATTTTAAGTAATGAAGATATTAGTTTTTTTTAAATTCAAAGTAGTAATGGTCATTAAGTTAGAAATAGAAATAGAACTCAGTAGTAAGTGTGAAGGGAGTTTTGGATTTTTTTTTTTTTAGAGGTTTTTGCTATAGGGCGCATGCACTCGCCAGAAAGACAGAGAGAGACAGAGAGACAGAAAGCAAGAAATCACCCCCCAGGGGGGATGGCCACGCCGCAATCCCTTCTCCTCCATTCTCCTCTTGGGATCTTGGGCATGCATGCACACGCACCTGGCATGAGTTTAAGCCTTCAGGTCTGGGACTTGAACCGTGGTCGACTACGTGGGAGTCAGCAACATAGCCGTTATGCTAACTGCTGGTCCCAGGAGTTTTGGATTTTTATAAAGGAATCTTATCTGTTGAATCATCTATTTCCTTTTTGGAATATTTCATTTTATAAAATATATCTTAGGGGCCAGCAGGTAGTGTGGTGGTTAAAGCTCTGTATTCCCATGTGGCCGGACATGATTCAAGGCTCAGACATGGAGGCTTGAAAAATCACGCCAGGCACCTGTGCATGCACCACTAAACCCAAGAGGAAAATGGAGGAGAGGGGATTGTGGTGCGGCCATTCCCTCTGGGGGATAATTTCTCACTTTCTCTCACTCTCTATCAATCTCTGCTGAGAGCATGTGCCCTATGGCAAAACTTTGGGGAAAAAGAAAAAAAAGAAAAAAAATCTGGTATTCCTAACACATAGCATATGAAATACAAAGTCTTTGTTCTTTTTTATTTTTATTATTCTTTTTCTTTAAAAATACCTATTAGCATGAGTACTTTTGTATTGCTTCTTTTTTCCTTAAAGAATGTTTAACCATATTTGGAAATTAAAAATCTTTAGTGATTAAAAGAGTACATGACCTTCCTACTTATGTATATAACAAGAAAAAAAAAACAAACATGATTCTAAACAGGAAGAGTAATTTTCTCATTAAAATTCCTTCATTTTATTTTGCTTGTTTGTTTGTTTCTGGTCACTAGGAATGATATCACAACTTGCAGAAAAATACAATCTTCCTTTAAGGACAAGTTTTAGCTCTGCACGAGGATTTTTTATCCAGATGACTACAGATTGTACAGCCCTACCCAGTGATCAGCTTCCTTCAGAATTTATTAAGGTTCATTCTAGAGTGGTTAGGAAATTATTGTTCCTGGTTTTAAAGAATTATATTTACCTATTTTCAGACTTTCTTTGAGTGCTACATGCAAAAATTCCAAATGTCCTTTATATTTATTCTTCTCCTTCTATGTCCGTCCTCCCCTACCCCTCAGCTATAATTATCTAAGAGTAACTTAGCAGTTTCATTGATTTTTATTTTGTTTTATTTTATTTTTGAGTGCCACCAATCTTAGTATTTCTCACAGCTATGGGGGCTTCGCTTGAGTGGATAATAGGAAAAGGAGGAAAGTTCATAAGATATTTTTAATAAAGGAAATTAGAAAAATATTGTATCACCTTCTGCACCTTCTGTTTTAGGTTGTTTGCAAGGTATATTTGCCTATTAACCGTACAAAAAGTTCTGACGTAAAGAAGAACTTTCTGAAAATATGTAGTATTTTCTAATCTTAGGACCACAGAACTACTTTTTCCTACCTATGTATTAACTCCGCCACAAAACAGCAGTATGAGAAAGTCTAACCCACTCTAATCTTTGCTTTCTCTTCTACCAGAGGGTACCTTTTGACAAAAATATACAATTTAACTTTCAGTTTAAAAGCTATCTTGCCAAGTAATGAGGGAGAGATGAAGTAAAGAATGGACTGAATTTCAGTAATAGGATTGGAGATTGTGTGAGGTTCAGATATAGGACAAACAAAAGCTGACCCAGAGGGCAGAGAAGGAGTAAGGACCGCTGATGTCCATCATGCATGTTACTTAGTAATAAGATGCAGTGTTTTAACATTTCTACAAGGTCATTTTAAAACCTTTCAAAATAGTCATGTCTGAAAGACTAAGTTAAAAATAACCTACTTTAAGTGATCTTCCTTTATTTTTTTACAAATGTTACTTAGAACATTTTGATACCATGTCTCAAAAATTAAAGTGATTAACTAATTACCTAATATTTCCATTTAAAATCTATGATTTATTTCATAGAAGTGTGCATTATCTTGACTTTTTTTAATGTCCTACCAGATTTCAAAAATGAAAAATTCTTACAGCTTTACATCAACAGATTTAATTAAGATGAATGAAAGATGCCAAGAGTCTTTGCGAGAAATCTATCACATGACTTATGTGTAAGAGCATTTGAAGTATTTGCATATTGAATTAAATTGGTTTAATTTGAGGAACCATGATAAATTTCATTAATTGACTTTTTGTATAATTACAGACATATTGTAGAATTATGAATATTAACACAGAAAGTCTGTCATTGTGATTAGGATCGCCAAGCCTCACAGAGGCTTCAGGGCAAATCTAATGACAAAAAAAAAAAAAAATTATTTTAGCTGATACTTCTGTAACAGGCATTCTGCCATGATGTAGGACGTGGTACATCATAGGGTGTCTTGGGCTTCATTCAGTTTATTCTTTTTCCATGGACTGTAAGACCTCAGCTTCTCATACTTTTGATACTTCTAGGGCAATAGCACAGTAGTCCCGGTCTTTTGCTATTCATCAAAAAATAGCTGCACATCCAGAAAGCAAAACATTTAGAATTAGTGGACCAAGATAATAAATAGAAAGGATGGTCTTTCAAAACAATTTGAGGTCATAAACCACAAACCACAAACATACTGTATAGTTGGGGGTTAGCAAGTGGCATGGTAGTTAAGGTGTTGGATACTCCCACATGGCCAACCATAGTTTGAGTCCTGGACCTGGTGGCTTGCTTTCTTACTTTCTCTCTCTCTCTCTCTGGTCAAATTAAAATGAATGAATGAATAAATAAAGTTAAATAAGTAATTCTATGTGTGTGTGTGTGTATGTGTGTTAAGCTTTAGGTACATATTTATCATTCCTTATAAGGTGAAAACTTTTGCACTATGCAACAGCATAAGTCTGCCACATAAAAACTTACGTAACTAGGAAATCTAAAAACAAAAAAAGCTTAAGTAAATATGTTATTCAAGTGTGTGTGTGTGTGTGTGTGTGTATGTGTGTGTATGAGAGAGAGAGATAATGAGTGAGAAAGAAGATATATAATATCTTTTGTGTTGAATTTGACATTTGCAAAAGCACAAAATTATTAGTAATATGATCTATCTAAGTATAGAGGGCTGGATTTGACCTATGTAAAATATTTTTATTAATAAAAAATATTTGATTAATATTTAATGAAAATAGTCATTTAAAAAAATATGATGTTAATTCACCAGATGATGGGTTCTCTGCCTCTAAGTATTTGTGACCTTGAGCAGAAACTTCAATTTTCTCTTCTCTAAAATGAGACAGTTTAATAATAGACTTTACCTGTAGTGTATAACTTAACTATAATTTTACCTCAGGCAGTGAATTTAATATTATTTTACAATTACATTTATGTCCCTTTTAAGAATCATTATTACATGTCTTTCAGGATAGTGTGCAAACTGCTTAGTGAGATTTATGAACATATTCATTGCTTATATAAACTATCAGACACTGTATCAATGTTGGATATGCTACTGTCATTTGCTCATGCCTGCACTCTTTCTGACTATGGTAAGTTACTTTTTAAAACTTGGGGGGCTAGAAGGCTGTGTGGTGGATAGGACACCCACATGCAGGACTTCCACATGGTTGATCATCGTTCAAGTCCCAAACCTGGTGGCTTGCTTTTTCTTTACCTCTTTTCTCACTCACTACCTTTCTTCCCTCTTTTCTCACTCACTCTCTCTCTCTCTCTCTTACTCTTTCCTTCTCTGGTCAAATAAATAAATAAGTTGAATAAAAAAAATAATTCTGATTTTTTTTTTAATTTGGTATAAGCTTGTCAGATGGAGACAGAGAGGAAGAGTGAGAAAGCACCCCCCAGTGGGGTGTGGTCTTGCCTCAATCCCTTCTCCATTTCTCCATCCTGTTGTGATATGGGACATACATACATATACATTGACATGTTTTCAAGCTGGGTGGGCCTGGATTTGAATCATGGTTGGCCATGTGGGATCTGATTCCCTTAACTACTAGGCCACAGAACCAGCTCAGTAAGTTACTTTCTTTGAAATAAACATGTTACATACTGAAATTTGTGTTTCCTTCAAACAATTTTATATAACAATTATGAATGTTTTTAAATTTCTACTTGAAATACAGTCTTTTGCTTGTGGTCCTAGATTAAGATGGGAAATTATGAAAAATGAAATTACTCTTAAAATTTCTGGTAAAAGTAAGAACAGTGCCAGCCAGATGGCATGGTGATTAAGGCAGCTGGAACCCATATGGCCAACTGTTTGTGTCCCAGACCCAGAAACTTGAAAAGTACACTAGTGGCAGGTGTGTGTATGCCCAAAACTGAGAGAAGAAGGGAGGAAAAGGAATTGTGATGTGATCATCCCACCAAGGGAGTGATTTTTTTCTCTCTGTCTCACTGTCACTCTATCTGGTGAGGGTACATGCCCTATAGCAAAATTAAAATGAAAAGTGTAAATAAAAGAAAATTCAGGGGCTAGCAGGTGGTGTGGTGGATAAGATGCTGGATTCTCACATGGCAGACTGTGGTTCGAGTCCCGGACCTGGTGGCTTGCTTTCTCACTTTATCTTTCTCTCTCTGTCTCTCTGGTGAGCCCATGTGCTCTGTACCAAAATAAAAATAAAAATAATAACAAATAAAATTAAATAAACAATTTTTAAAAAGAAAAGCAAACTTAGTTAGAAATTGTCAATTTGAAATGAAAATTGCTGTAAGAAACTTTAAAAGTTCCATTGGAAAGCCTACCAAGCTGTTTCCTTGGTGAATATGACAGTGATCCAAATACTAATAGAGACAAATGTTTCTCCTAAGTGAGTATTTTTTTTTTATTTTGAGAGATTTTTGCTATATTGTGTGTGCACTTGCTGGAGAGACAGAGATACAGTGAGAAATCACCCCCAGGGGATATGGCCACATGCAATCTCTTCTCCTCCATTCTCCTCTCGGGATTTTGGGCACCTATACGCAGGTGCCTGGTGTGAGTTTTAAGCCACTGGGACTTGAACTGCAGTCAATTATATGGGAGTCCAGTGACATAACCATTATGCCATCTGCTGATTCCCTAAGTGAGTATTTTACACCCCAAAATCCTTAGGTGTGAGCATACCATTAAAAAAATTATGTCATTAATTTTGTATCCCAAGTCTATACACAGGCTTCAAATACAAAGTAATTTTCTAATATTGAAAGACTACTTCAAATCCCTTGACATTTCTTATCCAACTTACCAGTAATATCATATTTCTAGTATGCAAATTTTCAAGACTAATATGTGATAATTATGGTTGAATAATTGTAGACCTAATAAAAATACAAAAACATTACAATTTCTAGTGAAAATTAGCAGTAACTTTCCAAAATATCATGTTAATTAATTTTTATAAAGAATTATTTATTTAATTTTATTTATTGTCATTATTATTTTTTAAAGAATTATTTTATTTAACTTTATTTACTTATTTTAATTTGACCACAGAGGAACAGAGTGAGAGAGAGAGAGAGGGAAAGTGAGAAAGCAAGCTGCCAGGTCTGGGACTCGAACTACAGTTGGCCATGTGGTAGTCCAGGGCCTTTAACTACCACACCACCTGCCAGCCCCACCATTATTTTATTTATTTATTTTTTTAGAGTTATTTTTGCTATAGGGCACGTGCGCTCACCAGAAAGACAGAGAGAGAGACATAGAGACAGAAAGCGAGAAATCACCCCCAAGGGGGATGGCCACACAATCCCTTCTTCTCCATTCTCAACTTGGGATCTTGGGCATGCACGCACACATGCCCAACATGAGTTTAAGCCACCGGGTCTAGGACTTGAACCGCAGTTGACTATATGGCAGTTCAGTGACACAGCCATTATGCTAACTGCTGGTCCCCCCATCATTATTTGTTAATTTGACCAGAGACAGAGAAAGAGAAAGAAAGTGAGAAAACAAGCCACTAGATCTGGGACTTGAACTGTGGTCATCTATGTGGGAGTTCAGAATTTTAACCACCATACTGCCTGTCAGCCCCATTAGTTTATTTATTTATTTATTTATTTATTTATTTATTTATTTTTGGAGAGATTTTCACTATAGGGCGCGTGCGCTCGCCAGACAGA